GAACTTTCTTCTAGGCTCGCGCTTAAGCCCTGAGTTGAGGGCTTAAGCGCCCAGAGGCAGAGGCTATTTGCATATTTAGGAGGCTTTAGCTTCGAAATGGGGGCTTAAGTCTCCTCTCTAACAACTTGATAATTTTAATAAGATCTTCAATTCTTCTTGTTTTGATCTTCATCTTTCATATCTGCAATTTTTCCTCCTTTTATCTTCAAATTCCTTCAAAATAGCAAATGTATATCATTTAATTAATAATTCATAAAGTTCATGATTATTATATTAAAACCCTGGTTTTTGACTTGTTCAACTTGATAATTTATATTAATTTAGTCTATAAAACAAGATAAACTAAATGTTTATCAATAAATCAAATCGAAATGGGAATACTAATTACTAAGCAAGTTGAATAGTATATTATCAACATTTTAAATATAAAGTATTAATTAGAATATATCATTGTGGATTATTTAAATTCTTTTATATCCATATATTCTAATATATTATTGAAAATTCTTTATTGAATATTTGATAAATTATATCATTTGCTCCTAAAATAACAATGAATGTTTGACAATAATCTTTATTATTGATTTAAAGATTTTTTAGTATAGTATTATGTCAAACATTGGAAAAACCATATTTTTCACATCCTTAAAGTGAGTGAAAATAATTATAATTTTAAACCTATTGGTTCAAAGCTATTGCCTGAAGCAAATGCCAAAATTTATGAAAGACTCTAGCTATTTTGAGAGCTATGAGCGCAACCAATAATATAACCCTTGAGAGGGGGTGGTTGAAAATCCAACATTGGGTAAAATTATGAAAAAAAATAAGTCAAACAAAAGTGGCTAATGAAAATGAATATGGCAAATTAAATAAAGGCAAGAATGATGAATTTTACGCTATTAAAAATATGTATACGCCTACATTATATACATCCCGGAAGGATTGTTTATATTAATGAATTTTATGAATTTAATTTGAAGGCTCCAGAAGAGCTTGTATTATGTTACCTTGAGAAGCAACCGAGGAATGTGATAAGATCAAGCAATCAAGGAATGTGATAAAATCTCCCGGCAGGAGAATGTCAATGAAATAATATTTCTTCATCATTTATATGATGATCTCAAAGTGAAATTTTTATGGCAAAAGGATTCATTAGATCCAATAGAATTTTGACCATTTTATGTATCATTCTTTAAAGTGAATGCAATATAATTACATAATTATGAATGTGGTCATGGGCATGTCTACAACAATGTTTGCAATATCTTTAGAAGAGTTGTTTATTTAGATGAATCAATTTGATGAATTATTCATCCAATGCCCAAAATGATTATGAACCTAAAGTTCACTAGCTCAAATGCTTTTAAGCATGTTCTCCTCTTGAACTTGTATGTGGATTTGAACATGATGTTTCCCATCTACGCATTTTTTTTTTTTTGGTTGCATAATATATGTCCTGTGTCATTTGAAGAATTGTGAGTTTGTGAAACTCAATACAAAATCAAGTATTTGGAGCCCATGATGGGCGAATTGTTTAATACACAATTCACTTGTTAAATAGAGACATTTCCCGTCATTAAGGGGAGAAAGCCAGAATCTTGATGAACCCCGAGAAATTCTTTTGAATGAAAACCAAATGAATTATTATAATGGTCCACGTATAAGTATAATTGAACTTGAAGTTTAAAATATCATTAGCTTGCAATCATTAGCAAGGAAAATGCCATATATATTTACTAATCACAAAAGAGTGACTAAGTCTCATATCACTACATAAAATGAGCCACATGTTGTGGAGAATTTAATGACACGAAATTTATTTGAGTCTAGACAATACCGGAAGCATGAATGAGACTAATGACATAAATCCGCGAAAAATAAAAATAAGTCACTCATTGCGCCTCCTGAAGAGGTTAATCCTGAAGAAAGCAAACCCGGTGAAATAAATGTAGCGCTGCTAATTGCAACAAATCCCGGGCATACAGAACGGTCAAATCTGGATGTCATGGGAAACGACGAAGATCAGATTTGGTTGATAATGATATAAAATTTGTAATACACTATAATGATAAGGGAGAAAATATGATAATATTATCTGTCGTCGGCGACATTTTTGCCTTCTCAGTAACTCTTGTTGTCTCAAGAGAAAATCTAGATCTAGAATCAAAATCATTCAAGAATACCAGAAGCATTCATATGTGAATGAATGAAATGAGACAATTAAGTAAGAATAAGGGTTTTCGCAGATACCCTACATCAATTATGATGTTTATTCTCCTAAAATGAGTTATATTACGTTCCGTTACTCGATCAGTATGGCAACTGGTATGCATCTTGAGATGCATTTAATGGACGTCGTGACTGCAGGGTCACTTGACGATAATACTTATATGAATATCCCTGAAGGATTCTCCATACCCTATATGAAAAAAATGAAATTAGCAGCATGTTTAGTATCGAGCTGCAAAGATCACTGTATGGTGGTCTCAAACATATTATTGTCTCGGCCTGCAGATCGAGCATATTTCAAAAAATGGTTATTTCACCAGTGTTAATATATTAGTGACCAAATGATGGTCCGTTCACTATAAACGAATATAGATCCATTTAAACCAAAAGAAATTAACGAGAAGATATTAGGACCTGAAGTTCCTAATCTCAAGCGTCATGAGGAACTCTATTATACTCTACTAATATTAATCATATTTTTGAGGATCTGTCCATGATATGGAGATTTTACATTGGTGAAATATTTTGGTGTCGACTATATAATCACAGATGAGAGATGCATCTCTCTGTGGAAGTACTACAATGTTATGGAAGACTGTAAAGTTAAGCTTAGTCACTATTTCCTTGATAGATTATCAAGGGGAGAAGATTTATTACTGTGCTTCCTTGATGGAGCCCTGAAAGTTTATTACTGTACTCTTTTCCTTTGCTAAGGTTTTTTTTTTCCAACGGGTTTTTCTTAGCCAAAGATTTTTAATGAGGCAGTTTAATGTCATGTACTCTTTTTCCTTCGCTAGGTTTTTTCCACTGGGTTTTCTAGCAAGGTTTTAACGAGGCATGAATATTAGCGCAATGATGTCCATGAAATGTTATAAATGGACATAATTATAATTTACTATATGAGAATATTAAGAGATTTCCATTATGGATAGTTGTAACTGTTACTCCACTGCCTTAGTTCCAGTAGTAGCTATCTGGCTTAATTGAGGGGGAGTTATACGCATTGTACTCTTTTTTCCTTTACCAAATTTTTATCCCACTGGAATTTTCTTGGAAAAGTTTCTAACGAGGCAATCTATGTTAGCGTATAACAAAAGTTTGTATATTAAGTTTGTATATTAATATTGTACTCTTTTCCTTCGCTAAGCTTTTATCCCACTGAATTTTTTCTTAGTAAGGTTTTAATGAGGCATATTCAAAGTGTTTAGTCATCCAAGGAGGAGTGTTGTAAAATATGGATGACGTTACCGTTGGCAGTAACCGTACAATTATGGATGACGATACCGTTAGCAGTAACGGTGTAATTATTTCTCATTCATGATTATGTAACCACCGCACTGATGGATTATTACTCCCTTTATTCATGGTTGTAATCTTATATATTGACATTGTTTATATTGGAGTATACAGTTGAATGAGAATTAGATTTCTGCCCTACTTCTTATTGTTTTCTCTCTTCCATTTCTCCCTTTATTTTATAACACTTTAAACTAATTTATGAACCAAATCAATTTTTAAAACTGATTCGGTTCAATATAAAAATTTGAACCGAAGCAAACGGTACACGCCTACCGGGTCTATTCAGTCAGAAACATGAGTCAAGAAACAACTATACTGGCTCTTGTCTTCAAAAAACTTAGCCACTTCTCTAATCTCTATTAAGTAATCTACAGATAGGTTATAGACGACTATTTGACTGGTCGCAATGGTATATGCGAACGCAGTCCCCCCTCCCCCTCCTTTTTCAACACATTTATTCACATTCTTTTACATGAAATTATTGCTCTTCTCACATGAAAATTATCTCATCACTTTTTTTTTTAATAGATGGTGAATTTATTACATCATGTGTCTATGATACGAGATATTTATCTCTAGTAACATAAGAGAAATAGAACTCTTCTTTTATTCCACTCACTTATTCTGCAGACAGAATATGGAGTTTTTTTTTTATTAAATTCAAACTTTATTTAAAACAAAGATGGTTATATATATATATATTTTTTCTTCAAAGGATAGTTATTTTAGTTAAGACTGTTATTTTTTATTTAAAATTTAAATTGAAAAAAAAATCCACCCACTGTCCCCCATAATTTTTATTGTTTATCTCTTTTTTCTCATTTAAAATGATACAATTTTGTGTCCTTTAAAAAGACAAACACCGAACCTATATTTATTTTCATTGCTTTATCTTAAATAATTAAATTTATATTAAAAAATTCCAACGGACTATTTTCGTTTGGGTCTTTAAAATAGTCTTGGTCTTCCACTTCAAGCAGCTCATACAAACTTTCGGACGACTCCAAAGCCGTGGGCACCAAGAAAAAACCTACTCACTTGAGTTTTAATTATTTACTAACTTACTCAACTTGGACCCGTAATTCTTCCATTTTTTAATTCGTTCTTGCTCATTTCTCTTGAATAACAATATTGTTATATATGCACTTTTTTCCCCAAATTAAAATCCAAATTGACTATCAGAAATAAGAACCTCCGAAGTTGTTTCCTACACGAGAAAATCATATACTCACGTTGTTTGAAGTTTGAATACAAAAAAAGTACATGTTTCAAGTCTCCTTCCACAATTGAATATGCACACTAGGATACATTTTAGTCAAACACAAAATGCTACCACCCAAGCTATAAAAAGGACACCATATATCCCCATACTACACACGTATCATACACAATCTTCTTCCTCCTTCTCTCTCTTTGAGATTCCTAAAGTTTGCATAGCTAGTCTCTGATTGCCCTTTCAACGTTTAAAAAAGATGACAAGCACCATTCTCAAAACTCAGGGCTTCTTAGTTCTATTCCTAATGCTGAACTCTGCTTTCATGGTCCTAGAAGCCCGTCCACTGAGTATCTTGGAGACAAGAAATTCAGCCACAAGGAGGGATTTTGTGGACTTCTTTGATTGGTTATCTCTGGGAGCAATAAAACAATCTGGGCCAAGCCCTGGGCAGGGACACAAGTTCACCAACACTGAGACCCTTGGTGGGATTAAGAACTCGGGTCCAAGTTCCGGAGGGGCGGGTCACAAATTTACCAACACTGAAATCCTTGGAGGGATTAAGAACTCGGGTCCAAGTTCCGGAGGAGAGGGTCACAAATTTACCAACACTATGACCCTTGGTGGAATTAAGGACGCAGGTCCAAGCCCTGGCCAAGGACACTAGCATGTTCCCGGCCCTCACACCATTCATCTATAGTTAGCAAGGAAATTTCAGATTATTTAATTCCTTCATTTCATTTTTGTATTCTTTTTTCACTTGCCTATTCATACTGTAATAGTCCAATTGATATACCATATAGTAAAGTAAGTTCATAGTAACTACGGTGGGTGAATGTACTATATATAGATTAAACTTCACTTTTTCACAACATTTTTTATAGAAACAATTGCACTTGCAATTTCAGGCCTTCCCCCAAAATGATGATTTTAGGATTTAAATCTTTATCATTGTAAGTGAAAAGTCGAAATCCATCATCACAGCAACCAATCACTGTTAATTTTTTGTGTGGACATTTTTGTTGTTGTTTAAGCTTAATTGTTTTGGACATTCTCAAAATAAAAGAAAAAAAATTGTTTGATGTTATGAAATAAATTTATGGATATTTCACCTTCCTACCTCTACATCTTCTTTATTAATAGTAGTGTAACCACGTGTACATACAGTATTGTTTATGGTTATTATTCATATACGGGATACTATTAATTACTGTTCATATGCAATTTATACGTGAATTACTATTTAGGACTATTCATGGGCACTATTGATACGCATTTTTAATATTTTTAGGGTATTAAAAATTAAGTTTAGTTCTTCAGTCACGTGTGCTAAGCAAAAGTGGCTAATGTGAGATGGAAAGAAATTAGCACTATGTGCTAAGCTAAAGTGGCTCATGTGAGATGGAAAGAAATTAGCACTATGTCCGTTTCAAAATATCAATTACTTTAAAGTATAAATTTTATTTTATTTTATCTGTTACTTTAAAAAAAATAAGAAAAAAGTTAATTTCTATTTTCAATTTTGTATATCTTCACTTAGTAATTGAAAAGTATTAATAGAGTAAGAATATAATAATAATTTCTAAAATCATAGATTTTTAATGAATTTTTAAATTTTGTATTAATATTAAATAACTAATATATATTAAAAGGGATATATTAAATACAGAAAACAAATTTCCACCAAAAAAACAAAAAATAAGTGGCTTCGCTTATTTATATTAGGGGGCAGTAATACTTATTATTATTTTAATTTTATTATTTTTATTACTTATTTGGCTATCGTTAAATTAATTTAAAATCAACAGTTGAATAAAGAAAAAATTAATTATAATTAATCCAAGATAATTAAACAAATAATAAGAATAATAAGACGAAAATTATAATAAACATAACTTTTCCGTTAATAAAATATGTACAAGTAGTATTATTTTAAAAAATTTATAAAAGTTTTAAGGAGAGAGGAATACAAAAAGTACGTGTCACTGCATACCCGTTTGACTTTGCTCTTTTGCGCTCTTGCCATGAAAAGTTCAAGACTTTTTTTTTTTTTTTTAATCTCAAATGTTCAAGACTTCGAAACAATGTAATACGGGGTTTATCCTGCTTATACAAAATATTTTTAAAATATTTTTATTTACTTTTTTTAGTGGGACAAATTTAAATATGTGTGTGTTGCAAAAACTCTCTTCTTATGTTGTATAAGAAGTATAAATCTCATATTATATAAAGGAAAAAGTTATACTTATTATAATTTTACTTTTATTATTCTTACCACCTATTTAGTTACCGTTAGATCAATTTAAAATTAATGACAGTTAATTTTGTTTTTCAACCATTGATTTCAAGTGATATATTAAATTAAAATTTGACATACCACTGTAATTTAAAAAATACATTTATATCAAATGATATATTATCATATTATTTAATAAAATTGATTTTATATGTAGTTATTAATATAATCAAATTTATTAAATAAGTTCTAATATAAAATTAAATAACGGTGTAAAAAAAACTTTATATTGATACTGTATCAAAGTTAAGCTTTATTTACTTTTTGTGAGATTTCATATATTTTAGAATACTCATCTATAAAAGTTACAGGGAAAATGATTATAAGAAGCCACTAGGAGTTATCTCGTGGTGAAGGTTTCGATAAATTATATTAGGTTATGGATTTAATTCTTATTTATATCAAAAAAACAATAATAATAAGAGATGATAAAAAATAATGGGCATGGAGGTGGCTTGGATAGAAGGCTTGAGAATCACATGGTTACAGTGATTCGTTAACAATGATAAACACACCCTGAAGAAAGGTTACGAAACTTAGAAATTCTTATGTTGCCTTGCTAACAGATATGTAAGTGTGCGTGCAAGTATACGTAACAACAAGTAATAAAGGGCGTATTTAAGATCCTACTATCGTTCCCACAAAGATCTTTGGCGTTTGTAACTTGACTAAAATTTTCAATTGCTAAAACTGAATCTAATCTAAAAAGTGAGTAAAAATAAAAACAAAGTAATCACAAGACTAAGTTAAAATATTACAGACCAGTGGCTCTATTTTTTTTTTATAATTTTCTGAATTTAAGAATTGATTTCATGAACTAAAGAGTGAAAAATGGAAAGATAGCAAATTAAACATTTGATTGAAAGAGATTTTATCTAAAGAAATTAGTAAACAGAATTATGAGTGAAATTTTAGAAATCAAATGAAAAGAAATCTGAGTTGTTGAAAAATAAGTTGTAAAAATAGGTTGTAAAAGCAGGTTGAGTTTCGGTTTCCTTTCCCAACAGCCACTGAATGAATGTTAATTACAAATTACTAAAAATTAACTCCCAAGTAATAGACCATTTCTTATTGATTTTAATCTCTTAATTAAAACCATTTTGTCCTAAACAAACATTTGCACATCTCTATGCTAAATGAAGCAAAGACCCTTATAGTTCCGGTCCAAAATTACATGGAGGTTGTTCTCATCTCTGAGTAACATCCCTTGAATGCTTTCACACTCAAGTCCATGTGCTTAACACAGTTCTGGACTTAGTTATCTTTCAATGACTAATTCCTAAAATAATATCTACCATCAGGCCTTAATAACAGAATATTTAATTGCAAGCACAGTATTAAACAACAGGGAATTAACTTTTAACAAAAGCAATTAACAAACATCCATATTGTGGTTCGGGTACCTACACCCAACCTAGAAAGATTTAGCTCCTATCCATAAGAATGGAGCTCAAAACAACAACGAAAATAAAACGTACTGAAACTTAAAATGCAGAAAAATAAAAGTACAGCACGAGTCCTAACAACCAGATTATCCTCAGTGCTATACCGACATGCTTAAAGCCTAATAAAACTTCAGTACAGTACCAAAAATAAAAACTAAAAATCTGAAGAAGAAGAATACAGAAAAATAAATGAGAACCCCCCTACACTCACTATTTCTTCTCCTTTTATAGATCTCCTCCTTTGCATGCACGAGCTTTTGCCTCACACATCAGCAGTCACCCACATGCTCCTTCTATCCGTGCGATCTCCTTGCAAGAGTCACAATCGTACACCAGAAATTCCTTTAGCCCACACGTCTAACAAACTCCAGCTCATCCATTTAGTTAAAGGTAGTGTTTAGCAATTTCTGTGTTTAGGAAATATGGCTAGGGTTGGATTGATTCATTTAAGGAACCGATGGTGAAGGCTAAGGTTCTATGGCTCTCAAAAACAAAGACCGGTGTGGCTTAGTGTATCGATTTGTTAAGAGGGATCAAGAAATAGAGGTGGGTTGGAAAATATGATGAGGGTTAGGGTTCGATCACAAGGTGAGTGCTAGGGTTCTGTGGTTCTCAATCTTTCTTTTACGCTTTGGGGTCTGTTTCTTACTTCCTATCTCTTTTTCCTTTTTTCTTCTTTGGGCTTATGGTTTTTCAAAGTGGAAGATCGGCCCACTTCTTTGTCTCTTTTTTTCTTTGCTTTCTTTTTCCTTTGTTTTTCTCTTTACTTTCTGGTTTCTTTCCACTTGGGCTTCTGAATTGCTCTTCAAACGTTCAGCCCATTCCTTGTTTTCTTTTCTTTGCGTGGACAGTGTCACAAATGGGCCTGAAAAATACAAGTACAAGCCCATTAGCTCTTAAATCAGAATAAATCAGCTCAATGTATTTGGGGCTAACATTATACACAGACTATTCTTTTCATTTACAATTTCATATTAAAATCCCATGTTCTAAGTCACATTTTATGGACTTATCACCTTACAAAAGACGATACGATGGATTCAAGCTCTATTGAGTAAACCTTGTAGAATTAAAATTTCCCACACACATAAAGAAGGAAATCAAATTGCTGATTGGCTAGCCAATAATGTTGAGTAATTGTTGACAGCAATTGGGACATTAATCTTTTTGAGAGCCCTTCACTCTAGGATTTGCAAAAACGAGCCAATCCGTCGAGTTGGCTCGTAACACGTCAAAAATGAGTCGGGTTGGATTGGCAAAAATGAGCTGCCAACCCGAGCCAACTCGACCCGAGCCAGCTCGTGAAAAAACGAGCCAACCCATAGGTCAAACGAGCCAGCTCGCGGGTTGAATTTTTTTTTAATAAAAAAATACAAAATACAATATACAGAAATGGACAAAACCCACACATGGTGTCATCATTTTTCTTCCTTCTCTAAACACAAGTCTCTAATCTTCTTACATCCCAGCCATTTTTATATTGTTAGGCTGTACTAGCTTTGTTTGGTTCAAATATCTTACCCACTCTTAGTAGCAAGTGGTTCTGATTGTTTTTTGATGTTGATGCAAATTTGTTGTGATAAAAATTCAAAAATAAAATATTTTGCTTTTATTTCTCATTTTGTAACCCTTTGTTTAAGCTGATGGAAGCCACATAACTGATGCATTAATACTACAGGGTCATTTAAATAGGCTGAAAACGAGTCAACCTGCGAGCAATTTTCGAGCCAACCCGCGAGCAAATTTTCAAGCCAACTCGCGAGCTATTTTTTCAAGCCAACTCACGAGCCAACCCTAACCTGACTCGGATCAGGTCGGGTTGAGTTTTCTAACTCATTTTTTTTTTCGAACCAACCGTAACCCAACTCATTTTTTTCGGATTGAATGCGGGTTGACATGTTTTGCCAACCCTACTCCGCAGGATTGTAGAGTTAGTTTGTAGTTAAGTTGCTTTATTTCCTTGTACTTAAAAAAAAGTAAGAAAAAAAGAAATTACTTTTATTCAAGGTAAAGATATCTAAATTTAATAATTTATATTAAAAATTAAATAAATAACTATTATATTATAAAATTAGTAAGATTGTTAGTTTGTTGATGTCAGATAACATGTGGATTTTTTAATTTGTGATAAATTAACAAATTTTAGTTTCTCCCCCCAAAATATTAAAATATATTTATTTATTTTTAATAATTATTTTGTCATTTTTGTAAAAATTTAAAGGTTAATAACATACATAGTAAAATAATCCTAATTATGAATGAACCAAACTTGATTTTTGTTTTACAATTAAATCATATAAATGAATTTCTACCTTACTTTGAGTTTTTTTATAAAGAATATTTTTGTTATAAGAGATTTTAAATTAAATTTGAAATTTACAAAAATAAAGAACGGAGAATATGAAGTTAAAAAAAGAGAGGCGCGTACCAAAAAAAAAAAAAAGATAAGAAATTAAAACTGAAATAAATAACAATTTATGTAAGTTATTAATATGGAAATTAATGTGTAAGAAGTAACATTAAAATTCTGTACATAAAATCAATTTAACACCGTTAGGTCAACATGAACCGATAGCATGAATAAAGTAATGAAGATACAGTTGATTAAGAGTTTGATCCATACTTCATAAAGATATGAATTCAAACAGCGCTGATCAATATGAGAATTTTGTTAGTTAGTGATATGTAATTCCTTCTGAAAAATCTTAAAAAGGTTGAAAGATCTTTCCTGATCCTAATAAGATACCTATATCTAACCCCAGTTAACCTTTCTTTCTCCTAAGAAAAAAGTAATGGAGCTTTTGGCAGGTAACCAAAATAGTGGAATATCTTAAAACGATAAAAAAAAAAAGTGGAATATATTTTTTAATAATATTAACAGATAATAAAAAGGAAGCTCATGTATGTTTTAGGTCAATGAATTTGATTTTTTATGTTATACCAAATAAAATTATCTTTTATATATATAACAGTGTATGGCATTGGCATCCATGTGGGGTCATGTAAAGCGAAGAGGAGAAAAAAAAAATGAACCACACATATTTATATATGGATTTTGTTAATGTCATGTAATATGAAAATGGATACATCATGTCACAGAGACGTGCTTTTGTAGGATCCACCAAATATTAGGAAAAAAAATAAAGAAAAAAACTTGCACGAAAAATAATCTGAGAGCTGAAGGAAACAAATATTTCATGTAACATAACGTTTGCTTTTCACTTTTATATATATATGAGAGATATTAAACCCAACATAAAACCTCTAAACGTAGTGGCTAAATACGTAGGCATTGGATATATTAGTTCGAGCAGACTTCTTTGGAGTTAAAAATAAAATAAAATTAGTAGACTAATCATATGGGAAAGGTGGTTTCTACATATATGAATTAATCTCATAATTATCAACATCTGGCTTTAAAGGATCTTTTCCAAAATTCAAACCGACATTTCATTTATCATTGGAAATTATATTATCAATTGAGCCAATCCTCACGATTATTTTTTTTCTTCCAAAATGCACCTGTTTGTTGTATGATTTATAGATGCTAAAACTAATATAAATTAACAATTTTTAGTTCGACCAAAACCTCATCTGGATTATGTTATGTTTTTAAAAAAAAAAAAAAGTTTAAAAGTTAAAAGGGAAAGCAATCTTATGTCACTGGAAAACACACTAAGGGGGTGTTTGGTAGGTGGTTTTTGAGGGGATAGATGGGTAAGTCAAAGTGGGAAAATGACAATGACTTGTTTGATACAGGTTTTTCCCCAATATAGCAGGGCATAACGTTTCCCCATCAAAAGCAAATTTCAGTGGAAAATGAAACACTCTGCACTGTTGGAGAAGACCTTCTTGGAGGTGGTATGATGAAAAAGCTAGGGAAGTCATAAATTTGGCGCCAACTTAGTTACGCTAATGCCCTTCTGAAATCACCTCTCCTCTAATACCCGTTCGCTTGCAAGAACGATGATAAAGTATGAAGTGACATTGCTGCATTTTGCTCTTCTCTCGTAAACAGCTCCATGGTCATGCATGTGGTTGCTAGATAGATTCATTGGAGGATCCATGGAAGCAACAAAGAAAGTTACTACCCAAAGTGTTCTTTGCCCTTCAAAACCACCACAACCACAACCAAGCAAGGAAAGTGCTTCAAGCTCTAAGCCTGCAAAACCACCACCAACTGTCCAACAGATTTTTTCCAAAAACAGTACCAGCAATAAATGATGAAGCCGAGGCATGTCATCTCCAATAATCATGGTCGTAAACGATTCAGATGGAGGTTTTCTTCTAAACCACCGACACACAGAAACACATAACAACACAAGAAGAACGTTGCCACAGTGTCTATTATTATATTCAGGGGTATTTTTGACATTTTGTCATATTTCCCCATCAATCTTTTACTTTCAACCAAACATAGTCACAGTAAATTTTATACAATTTCCCTGGTAATATTTTTGTCTACCAAACAACATTTATAAAATTTCCCCACTTATTTTCATTTACAACTATTTCTCCACTAATCATATTTACCTGGTTAAAAAAAATTCCTCCTGTACCAAACGCCCCCTAACTCTTTCCTGTACAAACAAACATAAGATGAGAAAAAAAAGAGAGGCAAGAGAAAGTTAAAAAAATAGGACCCACAAATAACTTTGTGAGGGCTGGAGATGATTGCTGTTTTACAGTAACATAAGAGATTCTTTTCCCAGGTTAAAAATAGCTAAAACAATAGAAGGGGTTATTTGTAATTTAATCTAGGGTTTCATTAATCTAATGTTAAAGGAGATAAGTTATCTCATGTCATAGAGATAAATTTGTGGGCTCCACCATCTGAAAAATAAAAAGAATAGAAAAGAAAAGGATGACATAGTTATCGAAGGGTGTAGGAGAGAAAGTTATCACATGTAACATAAGAGTAATTTTTTCCTTTAATCTAACCCAAAAAGTAGGTAAGCTTATGCTTACCAAAAAAAAAAAAAAAGCAGGCAAACTTTACTTCACAATTTTTATTATTTCTTCTACAAACCAGAACTTTGGGCTCGGGTCTATAAGACTATAACTGTGGGCTCGGGCCAACCCAGAATTCAGAAAAAAGAAAAACCACTCAAAACTGTCTACATTTGCAAGCCAACCGTGTGTTATGATGTTCTAACTGGAGTGAAAAAAAAAGACCCCCCAAAACGGCCTGTTATTTGGTTACTAATCGCTCGAATAGGCTCTGGTTTTCTTCTCGAACAACGCGTCATTTCCCGGTTCCCGCCCAGTTCCTTTTTGCTCTCTCGAACTCCACTATGGGAAACTCGTCGAAGGACGATTCCGCCAGTTCCGGCGACGCCTCCGCCGGTGACGTTCCGCCCTCCAATTCCAGCCTTTACTCCGACGGCGAGAAAGTGCTCGCCTACCATGGCCCTCGCATCTACGAAGCCAAGGCAACTTTACCTCTTCACTTCCATTCTTTTGAAAATGTCTTTTTGAATGCTTGCTTTGTTGTCTCGATTTGCCTGTTCTCGTTTCTTCTCGTTCGGAATTTAACAATTACCGTGACGGTAAAGAAATGGAACCTCTGTAGTTGCTCGCTGTTGAGTAATCGTTTCGCGCTAGGCTTTTCTGTGTTAGGGATTTGGTTAGTGATTGAATTCACAATTCAGTAGCTTTTCCCGTGAAGGATAACCTTCTGAAGGTCTTTGCTGTTTTCATAATTTCCCCTAGTTTCTCTTGTTTACTTTAATCTAAAATATTTATGGTGATTTTATCGTATGACCTTTTTTTTTTCCTGATGTGTGATTGATTTAATGTTTGCTTTGGGATTTATATATCCACTTCTCCTACCATTAAAAAATGTACAACTGCTGTAGGATTCTGAATTAGAGTGTTTTCAAAATTCTTTCAATCTATGTTTTCTTCTGTATACGTATACCTAATGCAAAGCTTCATACTGTAAGGAAACCTCCTTTCCTACGGGTATACTGTGGGAAGAGGTCTAGACGATCGAACCCAGTTACTTAGAAGGTGTGGATTATGTGTCCAGTTCTGGGGGATCACACCCCCAAATTAGTTAGGTCAGTGTGTAGTGTTTAGGCGGGAATTGCTGATAGCTACAACACAAATGCTAAATTGGGGAAGGAAAACATATTGTGGGTAAGAAATAATTAAGATAGAACCTAGAGCCTCTCCAATTGCTCTGGGAGTGTTTTCGTTCACTTTTCTACTGTAACTATCCACATATGACTCTAACATTCCGTTGATATAAGAAGTAAACATACAATTCATCCGTCTTGTTCATTTCCATCCCCCGTTCCTCTTAGTACCTTATAATTGGTTCCAGAGTTCTCGATCTAGGAGCTGTGGATGGTAGCTACATGCAAGATGGAGAGCGGGCTCGATGCACCAGAAGGGCTGATGCACTGGGAAGACGTGTACGAGACGCAATTTCGCGAAGTAGAGGAGGAGGGGGAAAAACTTTGATGCCTCCTATGAGACTTGCTCATGGATGGGATCAAAGAGGAATAGAGGAAGCTACCAACTGAAGAGGGAGAACTAAAACCCAAGGCAGATCTGGCGACAATGGTGGAATAAGGGCTACATTGGAAGCGAACCATCGAACATGGGATGATCGTGGGAAGGGATTGGAGCTTCCAATCTTCAAAGGAAAGAACACGTACGGGTGGTTCAATTGTGTCAAACAATTCTTTCACCCAAGTACATGCCAGAATTTGAATTTTGTTTTCGGTCTTGTTCGCTCTCGAAGGCAAAGCTCTCAACTGGTATCAATTGTGGAAGGGTCACACACCATCGGTGGAACTTGATCAACATTCAGAACAGCCTTGATCCGATGCTTCCATCATTAGCGCAAAATCCATATCAATTGTTGCTGAGCTTGAAACAAACAAGAAATGTCTCCAATTATTGCAAGGAACTTGAGAGGATTGTAGGTCCTTTTCAATATGCAATTGAGATATTGAGGGGAGTGTGGATGAATGGGCTACAGAACGAGATTTGTGAGTTAAAGCTCCACAGACTCGAATCATTAGTGGAGATGATTGATCTAGCACAATTGCTAGAAGAAAAAATAATGATTTGCAATAAAGGGGGATTGGGGACACATTTAGAGGAGGACAAACTAACTGAAATTACCCTTCTTCCTAGACAGTCTTCGGAAATGTTGGGATTGGAGGGAATTTGAACTCAGAAGCGTCTAAGGGGAATAACATGTTGCATTGCAATGTGGGTAATAGTCCAGGAGAGCATAGTTATCAGTATATTACGATACACGATATGATTCGTATGATATGATACTATTCACAAGCGTAGTGATACGTATTGTGATATGTATCGGAAAGGGATTTGTATTGTATGATACGATACATGTATCACATGATACGAAAATTAAATCAATTTTTTTAATTTTTAATATAAAAAAAGAAATAAAGATTTGATCTATGATTTAAATTAAAAAAAATCTAAAAAAGTATTGTTAATAAGGAAAAGAAAATAAAGATTTGATTTGTTATTTAAACTCAAAAATCAATTTGAAAATTCTGTATTAATAAAGGAAATAATTAAATAAATAATTTAATATATATTTTTAAATTATTTCCTAAGAAAAATAAATTTTGGTTCAATACCAACTTCCATTGGTCCCCAATAATGTCTCCAGTCAAAGCCTTATTTGGCAGGGATTCTCATTCCTTATTCAATAGGGGCAACCACTCCATTCCTCTGCTGTGGATGAGGTAACACAACAGTTGATTGAGAGGGGCAGCTTCTTAGCTTATCTAAAGAAAAACAGGATCAAGACCTATACAGATCAAAACCACAGGGAGATGGAGTTTAGCCCGGAGACTTTGTTTATTGCAAACTTCAACCATACAGGATGAAGTCCTTGACTAGGAGGGCTAATAAAAACTTTAAAGTGTTGGAAAAGGTGGGTCAAACTGCCTACAAGTTTGAATTACTTGCAGATTTCCGCATCCACCACATTAAAGAGAGCCCTATCCTCAAGCCAACAGCCTCAACCTCTATCTCCATTGCTTTCCAAGGTTTTAGAGCTTCTGGTCCAGCCTAAACAAGTGCGACACTATTGAGTTGCTGATGAAGGAACTATGGAAGTATTGGTTAAGTGGTTGCACTTGCTGGAATTTGAGAGCAATTGGGAATCTTTAGCAGACATTAATGATCAATTTCTTGCTTTCCACCTTGAGGACAAGGAGCATGCTTTTTGTTTTTTGGGGTTGGGGGGAGTATTGTAAGGAAATCTCCTGCTATTCTATGGGTATACTGTAGGAAGAGATCGAACCAAATTACTTAAAAGGTATGGAGTGTGTGTTGAATTGTAGGGGTCACACCCTAAATTAGTTCGGACCGTGTGTAGTGTGTGTTATATTTAGGCTGGAATTGTTGTTAGCTGCAACAACAATGCTAAATAATTAGAAGACAAGGTGCATGCTAAATAATTAGGACCGTGTGTAGTATTTAGGCTGGAATTTGAGAGCAATTGGGAATCTTCAGCAGTCACTAACAATCAATTTCTTGCTTTCCACTTTGAGGACAAGGTGCATGCTTTTTTGGGGGGATAGGAAGAGGTGTAGAGAATCGAACCAAATTACTTAAGAGGTGTGTATTATTTAGGCTGGAATTGTTTTTAGCTGCAACAACAATGCTAAATAATTAGAATTTAGATAGAATTTAGGCTAGAACTCAGAGCCTCTCCAATTGTTCTGGGAGTGTTTTCGTTCACTTTTCTTATGTAGCTATACATAACTGACTCTAATATTCCGTTGATATCAGAAGTATACATCCAACTCATCAGTTCTTATTCATCTCCATCTCAATTTTCTCCATACCTTTCAAATACAAATTAACCACTGTCTAGGCAAAGTGTGTTTTGTACTTATTTTCCCCTTAGTCTTCTTGTAATTGTGATCTAATTTACTGCATGATTTGATTGTCAGGTGCAAAAAGCTGAGATCAGAAAGAGAGAATGGAAGTACTTTGTTCACTACCTTGTAAGTTCAACCATAATATTCTTTCCTCATCGATCTTGTACGAAGGACTTAAGTCATTTATATTGGTTAACTCATCTCTGGCATGTTCCATAATGTAACTTTTCAAAGTAATGTTTAAGTTTGACAGATTTGAAATATTAAATCTCTTAAAAAATTAAAATGTGAAACCTTCAAGTCATTACAGGATATGCTATTGACTTTTGGTTGCTTTACTTTCTATTTTGCAGGGCTGGAATAAAAAGTGAGTTTCTTATCTTTCCTCTATTTCATTTGAAGTAATAAGGTACCAATGGCATCATCTTGATGATGATGCTCCAATCTTTCAGTTTACATTATGTGTTCTTAAGTACTATGGCTGTTCTTGGTACGTCTGTGACCCAAAATTGGTAAAAAGCATCAAGTAAGATTTATACTTGGGAAATTTCCAAAGTCAACTTCTCATGTTAAATGTCAATGAAAGTGGTGTATAAGATACTTGTTGGAACTTGTTTTGCAATTTGTTTATAGAGTCTTTGTAATGATCATCTATAGTTTTTTGAGATAATTGACTTGATTGTGACTTATTTTGTGATAAATGATAATTATTACCTTTAAAAGGTTATACAGAATCATTATGATGGGTTCAACATATTTCCAACAGTTGGGACGAATGGGTAGGTGAGGAGCGTTTAATGAAACATACCGAAGAGAATGTCATGAAACAGCAGACCGTAGACAAAAAGCAAAGTACAGACAAGAATGTTAAATCTGGGCGTTCATCTCAAACAAAGGCCAAAAGTTCTACGGGTAAGTCGATATCCCATTCAAATGTTGATAATGTATTATAAGAGCTTCTTGATTCTTTTGCTAATCTAGTTTGTGCATAATGAACCTCTCTTTTGGCAATTGGCTCTGAACTCCCCTAAGTTTTGATTGAAATTTAAAATTATAGAGGCTCTCTATTCTTTACTCTCTAGAATATTTAGATTGTGCATTCAATTGTTGAATCTCTCTTTACTTGATGTGTTTTTCTTTATATCTGATATTTTTAAGTTGCTGATGTGGACACCTTAAGGCATTTATTTTCCATTTTAGTTGGTTTTTTCGGGGGAGTTTGGACTAGCAGGGGTTAAGGAAGTAAGCAATTGCCTTGAAATTCTTTTATGTGGAAGTGAGACCTTTGCCATTAGTTTAATCTTAGTTTATGTCCTACCTTTTCCATTAGTGTAATCCTTGTTTTATGTTATCAGTGAGTTATGAGTAACGAGGTTCTCAAAAGGGCCTTCATCAACTGACCTCTGAAAAGTTTTGTGTATGTTTTTTTAACGTAGTTGGTTTTTATTGGGGAAAGAATAACTGGACTGTTCAAAAGGAAAAGAGGTATGAGATAAAAATCTATACTTCTGATGATTGGATGCAAAGTGCTAGTACTTTTGCCCAAATTAATTCCGGACCTCCCGTGGAAGCACAAAAACATTTTTTTATTTTGCTTTTGAAATTGTTAAGAGTATGCAGACTTCTATAGTAAGTCCTTCTATGTTTTAAATACTTGACAATATGTATGTACATTTGTTCAGGCACCATTCTGCTCTTTTTACGTAACTGTTAGACTTGATAAGATTATACTTAGATTCTTAGAATACTTCTTTCTGTTAGCTTGATAATTGTCAATTTGCTTTGGATTTTGTAGATGCAAAAGGGGATAAAGAAGACATTAAGAATAATGGTATTCATTAATTTCATCTTTCCGTTTTGTTTTTGCAGATTTATTTATTTATTTATTTTTCCTTCATGACCACTAGGATTGAATTTCTGTTGTGTCTTAAAGACATAAGATATTAGATTCCATAAGCATGCATTGTTAGAAGTAAATTTAGAGCATTTGGGTAAAAGAGGCTTGAAAGTTTTTTATGTTTTTCTTTTTTTGGATTTAAATCCTACTGAAAAAGTTAGCCGTTTTTCTACTTATTATGTACTCCCTGATTATTGAATTAATATTGTAATCTACACACAATGATTCTTACCTATATATCCCGGAGAAAAGTCAATAATCTCCATTTAATAAAAGGGATATGGAGGTTTGTTAAGGAGACAAAATTTACTAATTAAGAAAGCCTTTTATATTGTTTGACTTCATTCTTTGTTGCCCATGCTAATAATTTTTAAGGCATTATTTATAAATACTTGTTGCCTTTAACAAAAGGGAAAAATGTTTGTCCTTTTAAAGGACTGTTATTTTAGTTAAAACTACTATTTTTTATTTAATATTTAAATTAAAAAAAATCTCTCACTTTCTCCTAATATGATTTCTATTGTGTAACTCTTTCTCTCACTATAAAACACAGTAGTTTTGACTAAACTGACATAATTTTATATCTTTTATAAGGACAAACACTAATCCCTTAACAAAATTATTGATGATGCATTTTATTCGTTTAAAGACGTGTTTCTATAATAGGTTTTAGCTTCAAATTTTGTGATTGCAACAATACTTGGTGCATTTGGGTCAGCATTTGAAGCCAGAATTGCACAGCCTAATCTGCTAAATTTTAGCCTTTTAAATCCTACAATAACAATATCTCCCTTGTTAATAAGATCTTTTGTGTAGAAACTATAACTGCTTGCATCTGATAAATGATATTACCCTTAAATAGAGGTCATTATTGAGCTTGAGGCCTGACCAAGCCCCTTGCCTAGAAAGAGTTCTATTTGGGCCTCACTTTTCCTCTATTGGACACAATGTTGTTGTTGATTTGTTGAATTTTAGATAATGTGTTATATCTGCTTGCTGTCTTACAACTTGGTTGCACTAATAAGTCTATTATGTCAAACTATGTGCAGTGTCAAAGGGGAAGAAACGAAAAAATGATTCAGGAGTTGAGGTTTGCTTTATATTGTGGTTTTATTTTATTGCTTGCATTTTCTTTTATTCTAAAATCCTGGAAGGTTTTCCATTTACATTGAATTTTCCCTTCATATCATGAATTAAGTGCTTTACTTGCCTATTTTAATTTCACATTTCATATGATAGAGACAAAATATCACAATAAGTATCAGGTGTTTTACGGGAGTAAGGCTGAAACTCAATTTAGTAATAACATGAAGAAATTCTGATTTCAAACTTTCTTCTTTGTTTACTTAAAAATGGAAATACCTCCCTGTTTGTTTGATATTTGATTGGAATTCCTTGTTTTTGCCACTATCTTTTTCATTGAAAATTCTGCTAAGTGTGGTTTTATAATTATTAGAAGGGCAGTGTGACTGTTGAAAAGCTTGTCAAGATTCAAATTCCTGCAACATTAAAGAAACAACTTGTTGACGATTGGGACTTTGTTGCTGAGCAGGAAAAGGTACTGGAAAACTATTAAATTCACTCTTTCAGTTGTTGTCTTCTTGTAGATGCTTAAAATTCACTTTTCTAGAGTTATATTTGATGCATGTTTCTTGTAAAGGTCACTGTAACCTGAAAGAGATAAACTGTAGTTAAGACGTTTCTTTTTCCCTTGAAATTAAAGGATAACATTGTACTAGTACAATGTAACATGTCACTCAGCAATTTGAAGCCATCTGACTGCAATATGTCACAGAAGTTCTATTAAATTTTCCTTTGGTGATAATATTTTAGTAACCATTATGTGAAAATGATCTTACTGACACCAACTCTGGTGTCTTCTCTTAAGGACAACTTTTAAATGTCTTCACAAATTTGCTTTCATTTGTTTAGGCTTCCTTGCCTCAAAATGAAATCTGGTTAGTTCTTGTGGTTTGTGCTATCATATCTTAATATTGAAATGCAAATATTATGATTTATTAATTTTTTGTCCAAATCAAAGAGAATTATTGCACTCAAATTCTATGGTTGTATTATAAATTTATAATAAGAGATTGCTGCCCCTAAATTCTCTACAATACATATCTGAGCTTATCTTTTTGCTTACAAAGTTTGTTGATGGCATTGTTCTGGTTCCGATGCAATAATTGATTGTTTGACTTTCTGTTCAATTATCACTTTCAAAAACTGTAACTTATTTTAGTGCATGAATCAGCTCACCATGTGTTTATTTGTTGATATTTGTCCCTGCAGCTTGTAAAACTTCCTCGTTCACCAACTGTTGATGAAATTCTGACAAAGTACCTTGAATACAAATCAAAGAAGGACGGCATGTAAGAAACAATTGCTAATTAAAAATTCATATCCTTCCTCTTGTTAAGAGTCTGGCTATTTATTTTTTTATTTGCTATTCTCGTGCATTTAGTTGTACCTACTAGCTATTAGTAGTAAGCTATGGACACGCTACTTACACTAATGCAAAGGCATATACAATGTGTCTGTGATATAGGGCAGCTGATTCAATAGGAGAAATTTTAAAAGGAATAAGGTGTTATTTTGACAAAGCATTGCCTATGATGCTCTTATATAAAAAAGAACGCAAGCAATATAGCGAAGCAATTGTGGATAACGTATCTCCGTCAACCATATATGGTGCTGAACACTTATTACGCCTCTTTGGTATGTTCATTACTTTTTGCTGCTTCTAATTGAGCTTGAAATGAGGATGCTGTGTCTGCCCACACCTGTACCTGCATTGTGTCTTGGGATATGCCTTTTTTCTTTTCTTATTCTCGTTTCTTTTGTGGGCTCTTCGGATTTAGTATTAAAATAATGTTTAGTCAGCTTTATTTGATGACAGTATAAAAATTTGACATCTCTTAGCATTTAAATGTTTCATGGTTAGTTGTAAGAATATGAAATTTAGGTTTTGACCCTCTTAATGTGTTATCTGCTAAATACACAGATTTTCTGGTGATTACCTTGTTAAGTTACCTGAACTTTTGATGTACCTGTAAAATTTTGACATCTCTTATCATTTGATGGTTCCTGACTAGTCTCAACAATTTAGTTTTAGATTCCAATCCCATTTATGTGTTGTGTATTTGTTTTTCTAGCAATTGAAATGATGGAATATTGTTAGACACATTGATATATTGCCGTTAGGGGTGTAGCATTTGAACACTACTCCATGATCCATATACCTGACGAAATTTTCATCATGTGTTCCACAAAACAATCATAGATTTTTTCTTGTGCTTGCAGTTAAGTTACCTGAGCTTTTAGCATATGTGAACATCGAAGAGGAAACAATGAATCGCTTGCAGCTGAAATTACTTGACTTTCTCAAGTAAAATCTGAAACCTATCTCATTATATTTAGATATTAGAGATTGTTTTGAATACTTACTGAAAAATCTCATCACTTTTTAAAGTGTTGTGTTACATACTGCACTAATGCACTATTGCTCCCAGCTGAGATAATGACAAAAACAATCATATATGTATTAATGTATTTAATAATTAAAACATCTCGTCGTCATGACCTTGTGTACAAGCTCATGATTGCATTACTTAAGTGAATTTCCAGCCAGAGATTTAAAATAAATTCAATTTTAACATCTAGTTGTTGGATGGGCACTTCGACAGTTTTTTTTTTTTTTTTTTTTCATATTTAGGGAGAACAAGTCAGTCTCAGCCATGAGCCATCAATTGAGCTCTGACTTTGTTATCCTTGAAAAGAAAGAAGAATGTTGCAAATATACTAATTATTTCATAATGATCTATTAATAATTTATATGATGTGATAAAGAGAATGAATATACAAAAAAAAAATGTCATTGACATACATGCACGAAGAAGGTGTGAGCTTGTCTATATTATTGCAGGGATTTGGAACATAATGTCAGAGATATTACTTTACCGGTTTACCCACATTCGTTTACTAATGTAATTATGTATGGGGTGATGATGTAACCTTTAGATTTTGATTAAGTTAATAAATTAAAATATGTACGTTCCCCAACTTAATGCGCTTATATTTCTTCCCTTTTTGGTTGGGGAATACTATCTGTCAATCTCAATAGTGCAAGGTTTATTTTAACTGTTATGTTCTGTATCCGGTTTTGTTGCTGTTGATTTGATAAATAAACTCATTGCAGGTTTTTGCAGAAAAATCAGAGTACTTTCTTTCTGTCAGCATATGATGCCCCCAAAATCTCTGAAGGAAAAGGCAAGGGGAAGGATGAGTGAGAAGCAAAGCCTAATCTCAGTCTTCCTCATCGTTGTATTCTTAATGATTGGCATATGAACAATATCTTGTTTCCCCTAAAAAATTCAGGGAAGAAACTCAGTTGTTGTTGTAAGAATATTGACTAATTCATTCATTATTTTTTTTCTAGTTTACACAAATATTTTGCCAACGCTGTGACACAAATTGAAACATTTCATGACTCCGCTGTCTATTATGACCACATAAGGTCTGTAACGAGCAAAAATATTGACTAGTGAAATCTTGTTAGGCTGGATTCTTATATTTTGTAACCTGAGAAAAAAATATGGTTGCGACCCATTTTCAACGTGGTTGTACACAACCTGAGTCAAACTAGGTTTGTCTGTTTGTCATTGTAATTTTCTATATAATGCTCCCTACGCCTTAACAAATTTAATGTCATGTGAAAAAATGATACCGGTGAATCTTAACTATAAAGATTTAATGATTAAGATTAAAAGCACTTAAAAATATCGTATTATCATTATATAAACTCTCAACCAAATTTATTTAATTTCATATTGATATTTTCAATCTTATTCTCATCAAGTCAAATTATCTCAACTGAATTAGTTTATTTTATTTTAATTTGTACACCTTTTCCTTTCTGTACCCATGTATTTTCAATAGAGTATAAGAATATAACATTCTTTTAATTTCCCTGTAATGCATTCCCTTTTTAGTTATTGGTTCACACACAAATTCACCAAGGGTCCCACACCCAAAATATAGGAATGAGCACACTATGTGGTGTGGATGACATAACGACGAACTGGATGGTTCATTTTCACTCCATAGTGACTCAGTGCGAAGGACCAGAACAACAATTAATCACTTCGCCAGAGACTTAGATCCCAAAAAACTCTGATTCTCTCTCTTTCTCTCTCTCTTCTTTCAACGATGGCCTGAAGCTTCTCTTCGAAGTTCCAATTTCAAGATGGAAGCAGTTCCTTACTCAATCTCATCTACCAAATTTCAATCACTTGTTATTTACACCAGAGCTACTAGAATTCGTTCCTCCAACCTCACTCTTCGCCCCGCTCCAATTTCAGTCAAACCTTTCTATTCTTCCAAATGTCTCATTCTCCATCACCACAGGCTCCGTTGTGTCGCTGAATCCACCAGTAACCACCACCACAATCACATCGATCACAACGGTCGCCACCATCACGACCACGACCATCACCATCACCATCACCATCACCACTCACACGATATCGATGATGCTAATCTTACCGGTCCTCAAAGAGCGATCATTGGTTTCGCCAAAGCCACCAGATGGATGGACTTGGCAGATATCCTTAGGGAGCACTTGCATCTATGCTGCTTCTCCGCCGCTTTGTTTGTTGCCGCCGCCATTTGCCCTTATACCTTGCCTAAGCCTCTCATCAAGCCTCTTCAAAACTCTCTCATTTTTATCGCTTTTCCTTTGGTTGGGGTACGAAACAATCTCTCACTCCTTTCTCTTTTTTGCCCTATTCCTTGCTTGTCTGAATAATAATTGTATTACACTCTCTCTCTCTCTCTCTGTGTGTGTGTTTGTATCAGGTTTCTGCATCACTTGATGCTCTTATTGAAATTAGCGGAGGAAAAGTGAACATCCATGTATTAATGGCAATGGCAGGCTCTGCATCAATATTCATGGGAAATTCTTTGGAAGGAGGGTTACTTCTTGCCATGTTTAATCTGGCTCATATAGGTGAGCTAGTATTCAGACTTACATGCTTGCTGAAATTTGTTTTGCATATCAAGGTTCGAGGTTCTGTGCTCCTCAGTAAGTTTGATTTGCTTAAGTGAATGGTTTCTGCAGCCGAGGAGTATTTCACCGGCCGTTCAATGGTTGATGTTAAAGAGCTGAAGGAAAATTATCCAGAATTCGTCCTTGTTCTGGATACCATTGATGATAAACTTCCTAATACCTTTGACTTGGCGTACAAGAGGGTTCCTGTGCATGATGTAACTGTAGGATCATATATCCTGGTCAGTGCCGGCGAGGTAAGTTTTAGTAAATTTGTTGCCCTGCAATAATTTTGAAATTTGAATTGGTTCGATATACATTTTGGTCCCCAAAAATAATTAAAATTGAGTTAATATACATTTTGGTCCCCAAAAGTGGCAACATGTGTTGCTTTGGTCCCTGAAAGTGCATGTTTATACAAATTGGTCTCAGAAGTGATAACTTCATTACAAGTTAAGGTGATAAGATGTAAAGGAAACGTTATTGTGGAATGTTAAGTACACAGGTGTAACATAATCAGCCAATTAGATTGCTTACATAGAATTCCTGAATGACATCATCATTTTATACATTTAAAAAGATTGATATTTTCCAACCTGCTCTCCCTTATTAGAGATATCGTTCACTTAGCTTTAGCTTTGCTTATGTTGCTGTACTTCTGTATGTACCTGATCACTACTCTTTTCTGTTTCACAGTTAGTTAGGTGGTTAAACTATTTGTTATAGGCTGACTCAGATCTGAGTCATTTTGTGCTCTTTTGTGTATCAGATTGTTAGAATGAACTTATAGTAAATACAATGGTTTTCTCTCAGATTCCTTCTCTCTCTCTCTCTCTCTTCTTCTCACCAAACACTGATATCCCCAAACAGACATCTCCGATTTGTGTGAATCCTCAAATCTCTCCAACCAAAGTGACGACATCAATTAGGGATTCCATTCGGTGATCTAGTTGACATGTAATGCTACATGTCTGAGCTTAACGTTCTACATCGTTTCCTTTGTGTCTCACTAACACCGACTGATGGAAGGATTAACTTGTTATGAAATTGTTACTTTTGGGAACCAATTTGTGTAGACATGTACTTTCAAGGACCAGATCGACATAAACTGTCATTTTCAGGGATCAAATTGTATATTAACTCATTATAATTTCATTCAAATTCTAGAAGTAGGCATAATCATGACTGTTGTCTTGTGTTGGTTTTTGAGGTTTAAGCATTTTTTACAGCAATCATTAGCTGGAATTCATTACAATTTTTGGTGGCTTTGATATGTCGAATCCTTGGTATATATGGTTTGCTGCATTATAAATCAATAATTGAAATAAATAAATTAAAAATTTATATCCAACATTATTGGTATCCAAAGATTGAAAGAAATATTTTAAATTATAATTAATTTTGTCTTGTGTATATTGAAGCCCTAAAGTATGTAAACATTTAAACATTGGGCTTCAGCAGCATATATTATCTTTCTTTGATACAAACAAGTACACCAAGTGCATAATCTGCGCCAAATTAAGCAGCGAAATCAATTTGGTAATATGAATGTTTTTAATTGTGTGGATAATTAGTCTAAGGACATTACTATAATCTAAAAAAATTTGGTTGCCTACGAAGCCTATTCTTTTTGACATTTTGTATTACATATAATTGTGATCTGAAAACATCACAGACCAAAATTGGAAAATTTCTTTCGGAAAGACTGCCTTCAAATATTCTCAGAGTTCAGTAGTTCTTTTCAGTCCCCTTGCAAGGATTTTTTTATTTTATTTTGAATGTCTTTTTTTTTTTTTTTTCCGTTTCAGGAGCATTCCTGCTCCTCATGTTTTATGTCTCCTTTCTCTCTTAATAAAATGTTCTTTTATATTTTCACTGCCCATCTCCTAAAATAACAATAAAAAACCATATTATCTTCATTCAAACTTTACATTCTAATGCACGCCACTGACTCATACAAAGTCATACATGCACAATGTGGAGTCTCAAGTCTTATACAGCAGACTATTGATGTATAATGGGGATGGTATTGTGATTAGTCTGTGCCTGTAGATTGTGAACTTTTCCAAGGCAGTGCCACAATTACCATCGAGCACTTGACAGGGGAAGTCAAACCTTTGGAGACCAAAGTTGGAGATAGAATTCCTGGTGGTGCAAGGAACTTAGATGGGAGGATAATTGTGAAGGTATGTTCAACTTTATATTAATGTTGGATATTTCAGCAATTGAAATTTTGGAAGTTTATAACAAGCTTCTGCACTTTTTTATATTCTATTAAATTTCAAAATTTTGCCTTTTTATTTACAATGGAAACAGTTGTACTGATATTGGTAGTGTGAGCAACAGAAAAGGCAGTGGACAGTAATGGATGTGGTATGGTGACTGGTTATTATGGTGTTGGGTGATACAGGTGGGACAAGAAGGTCAAACTGGTGGTGTTAATGGGTGGAAAGCTATAGTAATAACAGGGTTGATGTACAATAGTACAATTAATCTTATTACATTGTTGATTGGTTTTTTCTAATATATTTTATTGTTGGAGGGTGACTGGAATGATTTTGGTTAAGCTGCTATTTCTGAGGTAGCTAGGTGGTGATAGGGATGAATGGAGTTGATGATAGATTTATGGGTAGATAGCTGGTGAATTACTATAGGTTTCAGCTGAAAATAAATATCTTTATTATTATTATTGTTGTTGTTGTTGTTATTATTATTATTATTATTATTATTAAGGGATAAGAAAAGTAAAGACCTCACCCAAGTTAGATGCATCAAGGATGAAAATCAAAAACTTCTGGTGAGAGATGAAGATGTAAATGAAAGGTGGTTGAAATACTTCAACAAGCTGTATAATGGGGATGGAGATACAAGCGAGGTGGACTTAGAGGACGCGTGTGATGATATGAATAGAAGATTTGTACGCAGAATTAATACACATGAAGTTAAGGAGGCTTTAAAGAGGATGAAGACTAATAAAGCCTTAGGGCCGTCCCTATTGAAGTGTGGAGAGGCCTGGGGGATGTGGCAATAAAATGGTTGACCAATCTTTTTAATAAGATTCTCCAGACGAATAAGATGCCTGATGTATGGAGGAAAAGTATGATTGTGCCTATTTACAAAAACAAGGGAGATATACAGAATTGTTCAAACTATAGAGGCATTAAGCTAATGAGCCATACTATGAAGTTGTGGGAGAGGGTTATTGAACATCGCTTGAGGAGAGATACCAAGGTTTCTGTAAATCAATTTGGATTTATGCCAGGAAGATGTACCATGGAAGCAATTTTCTTGATGCGACAACTAATGGAAAGATACCGAGAAAAGAAAAAGGACTTGCATATGGTGTTCATAGACCTTGAGAAAGCATACGATAGGGTTCCAAGGAAAGTTTTATGGTGGGTCCTGGAGAAGAAAAAGGTTCCATTAAAGTATGTAAAGGCAATCAAGGATATGTATGATGGGGCTACTACATGTGTAAAAGCTTGTAACGGATCATCAAGTTATTTTCCTATCACGGTAGGTGTACACCAAGGGTCGGCTCTAAGTCCTTACCTCTTTGCCTTAGTTATGGATGAACTAACAAAAGATATTCAAGAGGAAGTGCCATGGTGTATGCTTTTTGCATACGATATTGTGCTTATTGATGAGAGTAAGGAGGGTGTTAATAGAAAACTTGAATTGTGGAGAAGCACATTGGAATCCAGAGGATTCACATTAAGTCGAAGCAAGACTGAGTATCTGAAGTGTGAGTTTTCTCTGGTACGAGATGAGGACCAAGAACCTGTGCATCTAAATGGTCAAGAGGTACCCAAAAAAGATGCTTTTAAATACTTGGGCTCCATTTTACAAAACGGTGGAGAGATTGATGAGGATGTAAATCACAGAATCAGAGCAGGGTGGATGAAATGGCGCAGTGCATCTGCATTTTTGTGTGACCGCAAAATCCCCCTGAAGTTAAAAGGAAAATTCTATAAAACGGCAGTAAGACCGGCAATGCTATATGGAGCAGAATGCTGGCCAGCACATAGGCAACATGAGCATAAGATGGGAGTAGCAGAGATGAGGATGTTAAGGTGGATGCGTGGTTACACAAGGATGGATAAGATAAGAAATGAAGATATTCGACGAAAGGTCGGAGTAGTACCGGTAGCCGAGAAGATGAGAGAACATAGATTGAGGTGGTTTGGGCACGTGATGAGAAGACCCATGGATGCTCCTGTAAGAACAGAAGTTTGTTACCAAGAGCTCAACACAAAAAGAGGCAGAGGTAGGCCGAAGCTTACTTGGGGGAAAGTAGTAAAACAAGATTTAATGGAGTGGGATATAGATTGGCGGACAGTATGTCTTAGAACGGAATGGAGAAAAGCTATAAGTATGGTGGAGGGTTAGACCCGCTGTTATTCCTATGTTCCAGATGGTCCCTTTTTAGTCCTTTTCCCCTTCATTTCCCCCACTTCTTCTTGTCCCTTTCTTTTTTACTTTTATTTATTTATATATACATATATTGTTATTTTATTTTATCTTATTTTATATATATATATATATATATATTTTTTTTTTTTTTTTTTCAACCGTTTTGTATCTTTCCTGTGGGTTCATCTACCACCGACCCCAATTAATTTGGGATAAAGGTGTTGTTGATGTTGATGTTGATGTTGATGTCTGAGTTTCACATGACATTAACAAGACCTAAGTTTGAGAAATTTGGTTTTATTTATGAAGATTGAAGAATAGGGAGATGAATCAAGTTCTAAGATATGTATGGATAAGTTGCTAGAGATTGTAAGGCTAGGTTGCTGGTGCTAGTTTGTCAGTAATAATGCTGTCCTGTTCAAAACTTAAACTAATTTCTGAATAGATGCTTGTCTTCTTTAAAGTGTTCTTTCGTTAAGAACTTACCACAAAGTACAAAATTATTTAATCGCAGGTGACAAAGACATGGAAGGAATCAACTCTCAACAGAATTGTGCAGTTGACTGAAGAAGCACAGCTGAATAAACCTAAACTTCAAAGGTGGCTGGACGAATTTGGTGAACGTTACAGCAAAGTTGTTGTGGTGTTATCAATTGCTATTGCTGTTATTGGGCCACTTGTATTTAAGTGGCCATTCATTAGTACATCAGGTAATTTTTAAATTCTTTTACTGTAGTATTGCTGTACAATATAGTTTATGAATTATGAAAATTTGTATACAAGTAATGATTTTATGCTGTTGGATCCTCATTTCGTTTTTCTTTGTGGGATCAGATATTTTACCCTTTCCTTTAATAATCATTTGGTAAAACTAGAAGCTTAGAAAAGTTGTGAAAAACTGAATGTTTCATTCATCTATCACAAATGGAGTGGTTTTGCAACATATAGTAAGAGCATAAGGGTAAAAAAGAAAAACACCTAGGTATCCTATGTAAAACAACAAAAGACTAAGTTGGTTAAACCCATTACTCCTAGTTACATAAACTTTCCACACTCCCCCTCAAGTTGGGAGGTAAATATTGATCATTCCCAACTTGTCTATTAAGTTATCAAAAACTGATCTGTGTAGACTTAGAAGAATGTCAGCAGTTTGCTCTTTGGTAGGGATATATGACATACACACACTCCCATCATCCAATTTCTCCTTGATGAAGTGATGATCAACTTCCACATGTTTTGTTCTGTCACGATGAACAAGATTTTGGGTAATACTGACGGCTGCTTTGTTATCACAATACAACAGTAAGGAATAGGGAATCTTCAGTTCATGTAGGAGTCTTCTTAACCAGACTCCCTCATAGGAGGTTGCTCCTATGATGAGTTCTTCAATCAAGAGAGTACAAGAATTGAGATAAGAAAAACAGAGAGAATTTTATTTACTGAAAAAGAATGATTCAACAATTGTCTGGATGCTTCCTTCGTGAATGGAACATCCTTATATCTATTCAGTATCATGTGACACCTGTCTTTACAATTATGCCAACTCACCCTTACTTACATCACTAACCGATACTATACAAAAATACAATGTTTACACATAAAGACTACCTATCCATATTGTAATCTTTGGCCCATAATGGTAATCTTTTGGGCCTAACCGTAACATTCGCCCCTGCTGCAATTGGAACCTTGTCCTCAAGGTTCATAGGTGGAAACCTGAATTCTGGGGAGTGCACCTTTAAGTCTTCCTCATCTTCCCAAGTGGCATCTTCAGGAAGAGCATTAGTCCATTGGATTAGCCACTGGCGTTGAGCTCCCTTCTGCCCTTCATTGATTCGACTAGAAACAGCTGCTAAAGGGAACTGGATTGGACTATTTCCATTGCTGAATTCTGGTAAAGGCAATGCCATAGCTGTGACATTTCCACGGTAAGGCTTAAGGACAGAAATATGGAAGGATGGGTGAATTTTACAACCATCAGGCAACCCAATCTTGTATGCAACCGGACTTAGAACCTGAGTCACTGGAAAAGGACCAAAAAATCTTTTGGCTAATTTCTGGTTTCTCCTTCTTGCCACAGAGATTTGCCTATAAGGCTTTAGTTTAACCAAAACTAAATCACCAACAGATAATTCCATTTCCCTTCTATGCTTATCAGCACACACCTTCATTCGGTTTTGAGCACCACTCAAATGATCCCTTAGCCTTTTCAACAATATATCTCGATGAACCAAGGTTGCATCCACTGCTTCAACTCGGACTAACCCCCTTTGATATGGTGGAATCATAGTAGGAACCTTGCCATACAAAGCTTGGAAAGGACTCATACCAATAGATGAATGGGTGGCAGTATTATAATGCAATTCTGCCCACCCCAAATACAAAGCACAACGGTGGTTCTCATCACAACAAAAAGCTCGAATGTATTGCTCAAGATACCTGTTGGTCACTTCCGTCTGCCCATCGGATTGAGGATGATAGGCGGTGCTAGTCCGTAAGATTGTGCCACTATTTTTGAAAAGTTGAGTCCAGAATTGACTTAAAAAAACAGGATCACGATCAGATATTATTGTCCTCGGGAACCCATGGAGCTTAACCACCATCTCACAAAACAGAACTGCTACCTTGGCAGCAGTGTAGGGATTGGACAATGCCCCAAAATGAGCATATTTAGTTAGGCGATCAACCACTACTAAAATGACATTAAATCCTTTTGACATGGGCAATCCGGTAATAAAATCCATACCCAAATCTTCAAATACTCCCTCTGGTATGGGTAAAGGCTGCAGCAGGCCCAATGGAGGAGCAGTTGCCGTTTTAATTACTTGGCATGTATGGCATTCTTTAACAAAATCAGTTACATCCTTTCTAATACCGAACCAATAAAAAGTAGCTGTTATTCTTAACAATGTGCGTGTAATTCCAGCATGTCCCCCAATAGGAGTGGTGTGTGCTTCCTTCAAAACAAGCTGACGTAAAGGAGAGAAAGAACTTAACAGAAAACGATGTTTATGGTAGAGAATTCCATCTCTATCCACTATATTACTATCTACCAGCTCATTAGCAAGCAATTTCTGTCTAATTCCAGCCAGTTCAGAATCAAACTGATTTTCAGCTTTGATCTGATCCACAATGTTATATGAAATTTCTGACAACAGGGACAAAGACATACCTGTTTCCTCCTCAAAACTTCTAGATAACGAATCAGCAACAATGTTAGTTGAACCAGCCTTGTACTCAATCGTGAAATCATAACCCATTAGCTTGCAAGCATACTTTTGTTGCTCCACTGTTTGGACAGTTTGGGTGAGCAGTTCCTTCAAGCTCCTATGGTCTGTCCTGATGATAAATTTGGATCCCAAGAGGTAATGGCGCCATTTCTTTACTGCTTCCATTAGAGCATACAATTCCCTAACATATGTAGATGCTGCCCTCATTCTAGGGCCAAGTTTCTTGCTAAAAAAAACAATGGGACGGTTATTTTGCTGCAAGACAGCCCCTATGCCAATGGATGAAGCATCTGTTTCAACAATGAAAGGCAAGGAAAAATCGGGCAATACCAACACTGGTGTTTTTGACATTGTATCCTTCAACCTTCCAAATGCTTCCTCTGCTGCCGCACTCCAATTAAAAGGTTCAGCTTTTAATATGTCCGTCAATGGACCTGCAATAGTAGCATAATGCCGAATAAATCTTCTATAGTAACCAGTTAGCCCAATAAAACCTCTCAATTGTTTCATATTTTTCGGTTGGGGCCAATCAATCATTGCAGAAATTTTTCTTGGATCAGCCTTCACACCTTCCTTTGATACTAGATGACCCAAATAATCAATTTCAGAAAGAGCAAACCCACATTTACAGCCTTCACACCTTCCTTTGATACTAGATGACCCAAATAATCAATTTCAGAAAGAGCAAACCCACATTTACTGAGCTTGACCATGAAACAATTCTGTTGTAATCACTGCATAGCCACATTAAGATGCTGCACATGCTCCTCTAATGACTCACTGTATATGAGAATATCATCAAAAAATACTATAATGAACTTGCGCAAATATGGTTTAAACATATTGTTCATGGCTGCTTGGAAAGTTGAAGGAGCATTGGTTAAGCCAAAAGGCATCACCAAGAACTCGTAATGTCCCTCATGAGTCCTAAAAGCAGTCTTTGAAGTATCTTGAGGAACTAACCGAATTTGGTGGTACCCACTTCTCAAATCCAGCTTAGAAAATACACCAGCTCCCTTTAATTCATCCAAGAGCTCATCTATTGTTGGAATAGGAAACCTGTCCCTAATGGTAATTCCATTCAAAGCCCGATAATCTATACACATTCGCCATGAATTATCATGCTTCTTCACCAACAAAACAGGAGAAGAAAACAGACTTTTGCTTTCCTTAATAAAACCAGCAGCCAACAAGTCAGAAACTTGTTTCTCAATCTCTTCCTTTTGATGGTGAGCATACCTATAAGGCTTCACATTGACAGGTTTGGCCCCTTCCACCAAGTGGATAGCATGATCACACTTCCTAGATGGTGGTAAGCCTTGGGGAAGTTGGAACACAGCTGAAAATTGAACCAAAATATCCCATATAACAGTAGGGACTTTCTGTTTAATCTCCAACAATTCTGGCAGCATTAAAGACTCCCAATTTTCCTCCACATGTCCCACCATATGTGCACAATTAGCAATAACATTTTTCTGCATTACACCATTTGTATCCCCTTGTAACTTCACCCTACTATTCTTCCACACAAACTCCATTGACAATTCCTCATAATCATGAATAACTCTTCCCAATGAACTCAACCAAGATATGCCCAATACCACACCCAAACTGTTCAATTCTATCACCCACAAATCAGCAACAAAATTAAATCCTTGTATATCCAGAGGAACTGCCAAACATTTCCGTTCACACAGAAGGAACTCCCCATTTCCCAAAAATACCCGCATTTTAGGAATTCTAACATATGACAACCCTATTTCATCAACTAACTTCTTTTGAATGAAGTTATGTGAGCTGCCAGAATCAACAAGAATAACAGTGGGTCTACCATGGAAGCTCAGCTGAAACTGTATGGCTCGAGGATTCTTCTCTCCCCCTAACGAATGCAAAGCAGCTTCCTGAGGTTCTCCTTGCACAGTGTCAGGTTGCCACACTATTTGCTCCTCCCCATCAGTTCCCAATTCTTCCCAATCACCAACCATCAACATCAGCTTAGCCTTGCATCTGTGTTTAGAATTCCACCTCTCATCACAATAATAGCAAATACCAAGTTCCCTTTTCTTTTGTAGGTCCTCATGAGACAATTTTTTAAATGAAGAAGGTGCTGGTAACGCAGGGAACACTGAAGGTGCTGGCAACGGAGGAAACACTGATTTTTGAACCGGTGGAACAGTGTTTATAGGGGTTGGGTGATCAACGGAATAAGATCCCTTAGTAAAGGTTTTCTTAGTGCCTGAAGTAAAAGTGGATCGAAGCTCTGCATGATGAGCTTCATAAGTCATGGCCAATTGCATGGCTTGGTGGAGACTTGTAGGAACATGAAGTTGAATTGCTCTTCTCAACTCAGGTTGCAACCCCGAGACGAAAAAACTCATTAAAATTTCATCAGAAAATTCTGTCACCTGGTTGATTAAGGCCTCGAAATTTTTGATGTAATCACTCAAGGCTCCATCTTGAGATAATTTGGAAAGCACACC